CTCACGCCTTCATACCTACATCCACATTCACCTTCATATCAACAAAATCTTCACTCACCTCCGAATCCACATCCAAGTTCCCCTTCTTATCCACATTCGCATCATCATGCACATCCAGGTTCTTCTGCAAGCTCATCATCTCGCCAATCTTCTGTTGATTCATTGGATTTTTCACATTCTTTTGCATTGTATGGGAACGAGTATGATGCTTCCATGGATCCTGAATTTCATGCAAGACTTGCAGCTGACGAAGATAAACGAAGACGGAATACAGCAGCATCCGCCAGATTTCGTGTAAAAAAGAAGCTTCGTGAACAAACCCTTGAAAAAACTGCAAAAGATATGACTGCCAAGGCTGAAGCGCTTGAAGGCAGAGTTAAGGAATTAGAATTAGAAATTAAGTGGTTAAGAAGCTTGATTGTTGAAAAAGATTCCAAGCTGCTAGAGGTTGAACGCCCAAAGAAACAATCAAAAAAGGATGAGGAGGACAAATGTGATGCTGAAGAGCTTGAAGACGAACAACCTCAAGAATCAATATCGAACGATCAAACAGCTCAAGAAGCTCCGAATTAATGAATCAAAACAAAAAGAAAATCTGCCATTGAAAAATCTGATCTTTTTTTATTTAACACCTATGATATTTATAGATTTTTTGTATATATACGTTTAATTTAGTGATTTCTGCCTCGTTATTTTATAATCGTATTCTTCGTGTGCGAATGAACATTTTATTTTATTTAAAAAAGACATTTCGCTTTATTCGTATTACGTTAAAATTCGCCTTTTTAAATTTAAAATTCGATTTTCAACTTTTATTTCGTGTATATAATTATGCTACTTAAAGACTTTTTCGCCTTTCTTTCTAAAAAAAGTTTGGCATTCGTTTATCATTCAAACAAGAAAAGACAATCTGATCTGTAAATATATCGCAAGTTAAGTTTCAATAAAAATGTAACTTTGTAAGCTTAAAAAACTTGTCCGATTTTTTTCGGCTAGGTAGTTTCGTCGTCGGAAAATTTTACCAGATTGATCGAATTGTAATTTCCGATTGGTCGGATAACGCAGAGACCAAAAAAAAATTAGGTTGAATGAATTCCCTTTTCTCTCGTTTGAGTCAGCCAAACTTTATTTTACGACAATGCAAAATGTCTTTAGAAGGAGCCGAGAAATATAAAAACTGGAGTAAAGAAGAATTGATTGCAAGGTTATTAAGTTATGAAAACCAGCAAAAAGAAATAAACTTTCTCAGCAAAAGCTCAACAGAATTTCATTCAGCAACCGATACAAATATTACTTCAGTCACGGAAACGAAACCTAAAAAAATCAGGAAGAAAGAATCTCGACCTTTTGATATTACTAAATATTCCCAGCGTCACATCGCTTTGAAAGTAGCATATTTAGGTTTTAATTATTCTGGTTTCGCTGCACAAAATGACGACCTGAGTATACAAACTGTCGAAGGACAACTGTTTGAGGTTCTCAAGGCAACGAGACTAATATCTAGTCCAAAAGAATGTAATTTCTCGCGTTGTGGTAGAACTGATAAAGGAGTAAGTGGAATGGGACAAGTGGTTGCATTAGATGTTCGTTCAAATATTCCATTATCCACCGAAGATTCCTCTAAACCAAATTTTTCTCAAGATGATAAAAATATTAAATCTTTAGAAGATCAAGAAGCTTCACAAAAAGGGAATCAGTTCAAAAGGAAAACGAACGAATCAATAGAAGAATTACCTTACATAGAAACGTTGAATCGCTCGCTTCCCGATGATATTCGTGTAATAGCTTGGGCTCCTGTTCCTTCAACTTTTAATGCGAGATTTAATTGTATATCGCGCGAATATAAATATTACTTTGCTAAAGGGAATTTGAATATTGAACTTATGAGAGAGGCAGCCAATAAATTTCTTGGACAACATGATTTCCGTAATTTCTGCAAAATTGATCCAGCCAAACAAATCACGAATTTCGAAAGAACAATACTCAGTATCACTATTCAACCAGTTATTCAACAAGAGCAACAGTCAGAAATGCGAGACTTTTATGAAGTTAGCTTACGTGGAACAGCGTTTCTATGGCATCAAGTTCGTTGCATGATGGCAATCCTTTTCTTGGTGGGACAGCAATTGGAAAGACCGTCAATTATTGATGAATTGCTTAACGTGGAGAAATATTCAGCAAAACCTGTGTATGAGATGGCAAATGATATACCTTTAGTCTTTTACGACTGCCAATTTAATCAGAATATTGAATGGAAATATTCTCGAGATGATGACTTGGAGTTCAAAACGCCATCAAGATTATTCAAGCATTTTCACGAGCAATGGTATAGTCAAAGGATTAAATCACTAATAATTGAAAATTTTCTTGATGATATCGGAAAACTAAGTCTTAAACAATTATCCTTCT